TCCTTCGAGGGAACATTTGTGTGACAGATGTCATTTTCCAGCCAAAGAAGACTGAACGTAGACTATTAAGCCTGTCACCTCCAAACACTTAGGAGGTGTATTTGCTTTTCAATCCAAGAGACTTCTTTGGGAATTACATGCCACTGGAAACCAAAGACCCACTTTCCTGCTTCCATTTTAAGTTTATGCAAGTTTACACGTAAATGTTTCCCGAGGCCCTCCACCCCATCTCCCCCAAGGTTCTGCTTCACTAAGTTTGAGAAGGGGCTGGGGACTCCGTGTTTGACAGGCTGGCCAGGTGATGTGGATGCTGGAGTGGAGGAGCAGACTTCGAGAACCACTAGTTACACTTGAAAACAGCTGCCCTGCCTGCCCACTGGCCATACGTTTGGAATCTCCTCCAAAGTGATCTTTTAGTTTTCTTGGTGAGAACTCTTAGAAACAGAGTCCTTTGGACATGATCTTAATACCAGCATTTGGGGGAGCCACAATCTTCTGCACCTTCCTCCTTCCCAGTTAAACCTCCATCCCCTGGCTGTATTCCAGGACTGCCTCCCCACCCACCCCCAGATCCAGGGCTGATGGCAACAGGCCCTACAGGTGGGTTTGCAGGAATTCCCTTTGATGTGTAAATTGGGAATCTTGGCAACCACACCACCTACTTCTTAGTGCCTAATTTAGTAGAAAGAATGTTCTGAGACTCAGACTGGTGGGGGAGGGGGTGTTGGGTTGTTATTTTTTTTAAGATTTGAAAGAGAGAGAGAGAAAGTTGGGGTGGGGGAGTTAGAGGGAGAACTGGGACTCCATCCCCAGGACTCTAAGATCATGACCTGAGCCAAAGGCAGAGGCTTAACCGCCCAGGAGCCCCCAGACTGTTTTTTTATATGTAAGGGCAGAATATTACTACCAAGCCAAGTTCTATAAATTTAATTCCTAACTAAATGAAATAGGAAAAGTAATAAATACCTTTTTTATTTGGCTTTAAATCCCCCATTCTGACATATAAATATTATCTGTTGTATTCAACTGTGCTACTGCTGGCAGTCTTATTTCTCATGTGGACAAATGTGACCAAAAAGACGAATATAAGACTGGCGGTTCCTGCCACATAATTGGACATCTCCACTTGTATGAGGAATTTTTTTTTAATTATCTGTGCCTGCTGCGTATGGTGTATATTTTTATCTTAGTTTTTAAATTTTGAGTTGTTTTCTTCAAAGAGATTTACGCTTGGTTCTTGACATCCTTGCTGAGCTCCCAGGTGTAGCCCGAGGCTGTCTTTTACAAAAAAGCTCAGAATCCTTTAGGGACTCCGAAATAGGGGTGTCAGGGGAAACAAGAGATTTGGCTGCTTAACAAAAGGCATATGTAGTATAGGCAAAAGAATAATTTCAGACTGATGAGGGCGTAGTTACTAAGCAATGAACCTATTTTGAGGACCTCATATGTACACACTGGACAATGCTGATGGGCCCATCCAAGTTCCTAGGTACCTTTTTGGATTCTGTTTCAGAGGTAAGATATAATTCATACTTGTTGCTCCAGTTATGCTAAGGGCTAATCCTCCCATCTCCCAGCGCTAACCTGATGCCTTGCTAATGTACTTGTGGGAGGTAGGTGGGCACGTTCTTTGTCCTCTTACCTTCCAGAAAGTAAGCAAGGTGAGTAGCACACACACACTGCCTGTGCACGTCCATCTTTGTTGAACACACAGTAACCCTGTGTCAGTGAAGGGACCTTTTAGGGAAAATATTTTAGTGTCAGTCTGCCTCTGAAAGCATCAAGGCCTGCAGAACCCCTGGCTGCAAGGCTTGGGGGTGGGGGGCATCTGCTTTCCATTGGGTCAAGTGAACAAGTGACCACTTTTATTTAGAATTAACTTTCGTGCAAGCAAGAGGACTTTTTAATGAGAAAAAAGGAGTATGATGCTTTCCTTCTGTGCAGAAATGTTCAAAAGGAGACCTGTGGGTAGATACTTATTATTACATGTTTGGCTCTAACTGGGATAAAAAAAAAATGTCTGGGGTTTTGCAAGGCTCGGCTTGTTAGCACTGTGAACTTCTTGAGGAGCCAGTCTTACTGAGTTTACAAAATTTCCCTGACAGCTGATCACCATAAAAAGAACTATAAATTTTATGGGCTGGGCACTTATACTCAAACACATTTCAAGATGCAGATATTTTTGAAATAACTAAAAAAATCAAAATATGCCATAAAACACCTATTTACTGAAGAGCTGTCCATAAAGGATAATAGATGGGTGTTTTACAAGCAACGGAACTGAGATCATAAAATAGCAAATGGAACTCTTACATGGCTAATAAGTTATTCTCCCGCAATTGTAAAGACCGACTGGAGTCTCGGAGGCCCACCATTGAGAAGGCTGCACGGCTGGGGCCCTGCGCCCCTAACCAGGCAGCCCGCACCTCAGCTCTTGTGGCAGCTCTGGGAGGGCCATGCTGGCTCCGGGTCTCTCAGCAGCAGGCCTGGGGGTCGCCTTCCCAGGCTTTAGCACTGGCTGCTCTTCAACTCACAGTATCTCTGAGAGCTGATTTTCAGCACCAGCTGCGTGGCATTTCTAATTGCTGACCTTTATTTTTCCAGAGAGGATTTTGCAGAGACACTGACAGTCTGCTTTCTCTTTCTTCTCCTTTCTCGCTCCCTCCTCCTCTGCCTCTCCCTTCAGTCGGCAGCACCTCCTCCTCACCAGCACTGTTAGGAATCAGAGACCCTCGCTCTGAATACGATAGGACCCAGCCACCTATGCAGTATTACAATAGCCAAGGGGATGCCACACATAAAGGCCTATACCCTGGTAAGACGCCAGCTGGGTGTGTGATAGAGTATCTCGAAAAGCCACTCATTTCCAGGCACCCCGCCAGCGGCCTGGGAAGTAGCCCTTGCGTATATTGAGACGGTCCCCCAGCAGCTGACCCCATTCCAGTCTCTCCATTTCCTGCTTCCGGGGTTGTTGCCTTTTCCGCTTGTTTTAAGGAAAACAAGTTAAGGTAGTGGCCTACTGACCACAAATAAAAAGAGCACCGCTTCCAAGAGAGATGGTTTCTGTCTGTCCCCCACTGCAGTCCCTTCGCTCTGCTCCCGCCCTGTCCCTGCAGTGTCTCCCTGTGTTTCCCCTGTGTCAGAACTCTGCGTTCCCGAATGCTTTGCAAGGCCGCATCTCCTAGACTGCCTCATCTCTTAAATTCAAATCTAAGAATGGAGATCAATTTCATTTACATTTTCATAGAAAAGAGTTTGAATGAATAACAAAATATATAATGTGATTCTTCCCGCGGTGATTATATTTTAAGAATAACAAAAATAATGTTGCATAGTATTCGTATTTTTATGTCATTCAGAAAGCTGGGCATCTAATTTATGTAAAGGATGCCAGCCCGAAGAGTTACCAAGATTTCATATTGTCCCCATTCTCAACTCTCTGGCAAATTATAACTACTCTAGAGCTTTCAAATACGGGTGTGACTGAGCTACCACAAAAGAATACTCTTTCCTCAAAAAAAAAAAAACAACCCTATTTATTAAAAAGAAATGAAAGCTGGTGGCAACTTAACAACTGCTGAGGGAGCCGTCTCAGTTGTGCTGTTGTCTTTGAAATTGTGATTTCACAGGACTGTTTACTAATCGACGATTGTTACTATGGCAATTAATAGCTCAGAAAATTGCAGATGCTACATCTCAAACACCAAGCTCTTTGCAAAGGAAATGCACAAACTGAAGTGCATTGTTGCTTCAGATTTGCAGCAGCCTGCTTAATTTTAAAGATCGCCTCTTTAGCCTGCATGCCCTTCTGTATCTTCTTTGCTTGCTTCAATAAACTAATTTGCCTCAAGTATGTTTCATTTTCCTCATTAAAAAAAAAAATCTTTGCTAGCCCTAACAGTACTAGACGGGTAGCCAGTGACATCATCGGGAGTCTGTTGTGGACTCTTGAACAAGACAGCCATCTGATTATCAGATTCTTGTTTTAAAATGTACTTAAAGATGGCAGACACAAGACTGTGCCCCCATGTGGCCAGACTGCTTAGAACACGCCTGTGCCTGCTCCTTCCGGGACCCAGGACTTTGGATCCTACCTGTTCTGAAGGCAGGGAGCTTGTTCTAATATGTTTCCCTTCCCCCATCTGACCCAGTGCTCTAGCTCAGAGCCCTGAAAAGCGATGTCCATCGGCTCAAGGAGCAAGGCCTGGTTCAGAGCCAGCCAGGGAAACCTTCACAGGTATGCACAGCTCCCCACAGTGACCAGAGGTTGAGAAGACAACCTTTTTGGATTGGTATTGCTTTTTGGTGAAACACACACATGACTTATCTTTGCCATATCCATTATCCCCTAACAGCCCTGAGGTGAGCAGCTGCCAAGCTAGATCCGGGGAACTCAGACGGCTGCCTGTCCCGGTCTCCCCTGGTACTGGGAAAGGCAGGCCCTGTCAGGGACTGCACCAGCCCTAGTGCAGGGAGCCCACACAGCCTAATGGCCCGGAGTAATGAGCACTAGTTTTAATTTCATAAAATATTTTCTTACAGGCTCCAGCAAACCTTCACCAATTTACATCAGTTCCTATTCCTCACCAGCAAGAGAACAAAATAGACGGCTACAGGTGAATTTGCAATACCATTTTTACAGAAGGCCGATTAGCAGGGATCAACACCGTAAGGGGTCCGCGCCGGTTGACCTACCAGAGCTGGCCCAACACAGCAGGGGCCGAGGAGCTTTCCCTGGGGATCTCTGCTCCTCAGAAGCTCATCTGTGGTTTAAGCAAAGCACTTCCACAGTAGCCTCATGTGCTTGAGTACTCAAATCCATGCTGCTGAGACCACCATTGCCACTGATGGGATCACCTGAGAAGTCTTTAATGCATAGTCTTTGCCCAACAATCTCCTTTTCCCACTCTTTTTTTCTGTTAACGTCCAAATTCTCTTCCATCCTCTGGGTGGAAAAAGGTGGTAAGCACACTTCATTCTCTCATCTCACTGTTCTTTTCTGTACATCTCATTTCCCATCTTCATGACTCCCTCCACATCCAAGCATCTGTGGTTTGAAAACACTTGAGTCCGTGGCCAGGTCTCCATTAATCTCAGAAGTCCAAGGGAATTCGGCCTTACTGGGGTGGACCCCATTCTCCATCAGAGTGGGAACTAATGGTAGTGGCATCCAAGCTCTGCTTTCATGGGGCCTAAAATTTTTATCGGTCCTTTTTTTTTTTTTTTAAGATTTTATTTATTTATTTGACAGAGATCACAAGTAGGCAGAGAGAGAGGGGTGGAAGCAGGCTCCCTGCTGAGCATAGAGCCTGATGCAGGGATCAATCCCAGGACCCTGGGATCATGACCTGAGCCAAAGGCAGAGGCTTTAACCCACTGAGCCACCCAGGCGCCCCTATATCAGTCCTTCTTGATGCCATGCTCACATAGGTTATCTGATCTCTTCTTTTACCTTCCAATAATACAAAGGTAGCTAGGGTTTTCCAAACAACCCTGCATCCTGAACTTCAGATAAGGATACTTATAAGACCTCCCTCCATTTCATCATCTTTTCTCTGTAGATGGAAAAAAAAAGAACTTCTCAAATTATTCATAATTTATCCTATAGTTTTTTAAGTCAGGAGAAAAAAAATCTTAAAATCATAACTAACTTAAAAAGGGAATTTAGCTCTGAAATGCTTTTAATGTTAGAATGAATTTAGTTTCAGAACATGATGTTTATATGTACATGGTGAATTTGTTACATCTTACTAAGTGGGGGGTTTTGGGCATGATCAAGAGGGAAAACAGACATTAAGAGCCATGACAGTTTTTCTCCAAACATATTTAAAGAAATTAATGTGAGGTCAGAGATGAGATAAGGTAACACAAAAGGAAATTAGGGGAGGGTACCCTGAGGTGAATGCCCACATGGATTTCACCTTGCTTTCTTACAAATCTATTAATCCTGACATGGGGAAGGTGTTTCCTTTAGAACTATTTGCTCACGTGTCTCTCTCTGAATTTTATTATCCTGCTGCCCAGAGATTGCTTACTCCTTTAACAATACCTCACATTTCTTTTAAAACTGAGGGATGGATTCAATCTTCATCTCTGAGGTAAATGTTTTAAAGGATGGTTCTGTACATACACAACTATCTGAAGCGTGAATATCCAATCTACAGTCAAATTCATGATGTACTACTCATGGTTCCCTGTGTCAAAGCAAAAATCAAGGCCATCCTTTCATTGGGCATGCCCAGGTAACAGGCCACTCCACAGCAGAGCACAGGACTGGACCTCTAAGGGGGAAAGAGGTACCAAGGGGCCATCTTAGGCTCTCCAGAGACACCAACTTCTAGAGGCCCTAGAACAGGACTTGAACAAACTCTGCCAGCCCACTTGTAAACATAGTTTAAAATCCTTACACTCTAATAGTAAATCTACAACATGTACCAGAAAGAACTCTGAATCATATATGCACAAATATTAAATACTGCTTTAAAAATATGAAGCAGGAAACCCACATTAATTTCCCTTAAACACATATTTCCAAAAATTGCTTTCATTTATTTGCTTTTTCATTTCATCAACAGCATCAACAGCTGTATTATAGTCAAGATGACTCCAACAGAAAGAACTTTGACGCATACAGATTGTATTTGCAGTCTCCTCATAGCTATGAAGATCCTTATTTTGATGACCGAGTTCACTTTCCAGCTTCTTCTGATTATTCAACACAGTATGGACTGAAATCGACCACAAATTATGTAGACTTTTATTCCACAAAACGACCTTCTTATAGGGCAGAACAGTACCCAGGGTCCCCAGACTCGTGGGTGTAGCATCAAGATGCTCGATAGAGGAACTCTTCTTTCTAACCTTGTTTGGATTGAGATGAAAAATCCATCTTGCTGATTTGCTGATGAAATGTGAAAGTGAAATGGAAGGACTGAGTGAAGAGCATATTTTTTTTTTTCTTTTTTGAGGAATCATCAGGGAAGTAAGGAAACCTTTGGGAGAGAGGACTTTCTAAGCTTTATTTAGGTGTTAGATCTAATTACTTGTAGATTCTGTAGTCGGGTGAAGGTGTGGGCAATGTGATGAGAGGTTTGAGAAATGGGTGAAATGAGTCGGGGGATGTGTAGGTCAAATCAAATTAAGGATGATTTTTTTAATGTGAATAAAGTTATGTTCTGATAGTTTGTACAGAAAAAAATAATAAAATGGATGCCCTTCATGTTTTATTGCTATTACTAAATGTCAAGATTGTATGCTATTATGTCTTGTAAATTTCTTTTGTTGGTGTAAATATGGAAATGCCACATTGGTTAAGTGCCATCATTTGTAATGCAGTGTGTCATTTGAAAAGAGATTTGAAGAAAACTGACAGCTTAAAAAACAAATGGGAAACCCAAGGAGTTGTTAGCAATTAAAAACAAACTATAACATCCTTTGTTTTCAAAATGAATAGTGTACCTTTGAAGCACAAAGTCCAGTCTGGTATAGAAGCGCCATGCCCATTCCCTGCCTTTTTCATAGGACACTTCACTGCCATTTTCTATGCACATGAAAGAAAAATAAATGTGGAAATTTCATCCTTGGAAATTTGTTCCCTGTTCTTTTTTTTATTTTCTGTGTATAATATGGAAAAGCACATTCTATAAATGTGAACCTAACTGCATGTTGGAAATAGCTTAAATATATCTGAGTATTATGGACTTTCCTAGTTTTATACACTTTATGAGAGGGACCATACCAAAGAATGAAACTATGAAATTTCCTCATCTTTATCTACCTTAGTATTTTTATTTGGAGGAACCTGTTTTGAATCTAACGTACTTTTTTTTTTTTTTTTGGTCTTCAGACTGCTGTATGTATTTAACACAGCTTTTCACCTGAATGAAATTACATCTGGTAAGGCAAGCCCTAACTAAACTGACAATGACTCCTTTGGGCAGTTTTTTTTTAAGAACTCAATAACTAGGTAAAAATAACGGTTGGGCACTTAATTAGCCGACACCAATGCTGGAAACTAAAACAAATTCTAAATAATTATTTTGCTGAATGATTTCATGAGACAATAATCCCTGGATTAGAGACAGAGTGGAGGAAGACCCACATCCATGAAAGGGGTTCCAGTAACCAAGAAGCATTACTTGTAAGCTTTTTCTCCATTTGTCGAGACGAGGGACACAAGCCCCAGGAGGCCTCCTAAGTCATACAGTTTTTACCCTGGATCTTACATGGCAAACAGCCCATATGGCAAGTCAAACCCAGAGCTATTGACTGAGTTCAGTATATCCTGCAAATGAGGTATAAATCATAGATTAGAACGTGTGCTTATATTTGTGAGTATATGGAAGGAGATCTAGAAGAAAAATGCTTTCTCTTGTTGATGGACTGCAGCCCAAGATTAGAATCCAAAGTGAAATGAAAATCCAACTACAAACAAATATTCCTAAAGTCTGTCAGTGGGGGACTTTCTGACCTGCATTCCTTCCGAAATGACCCACAGTAAGACTGCCCAGCTGCCCCAGGCCTCGCATACCCTGGCAGATTTCAGCAAACAGCCCTCTAGATGGCAGACACTGCCAGACTTCCCCAAGGAAATGGCATTAAAACTGTTGAGATCTCTGGGTAGCCATCTGTGCTTTGAATCACTGACTTCCTTGAACCTGACATCTTCATGTCTGGGTTGAAGGCCCTCTCTCGAGGAGTCAGGAATACAACAGAATCTATAGCTGGCATGAGCTAAGTGACAGTAACTGACTATTGCTTTTAGTGACCTCATATGTCTTTGGGTAACTTAGTGGACCCAGGTCCCTAACTCTTGACAGGCAGCATTTCAGAAAACATCCAGATTTGGGTTACAAAGAACTCCTCACTTGGGCATCCACTCGGACCTCCTAATGGGCCAGAAAGAGGCCTGTGAGTAAGGAATGGGCAGAAGATCAGATGCCCGATAAGGCTCCTTCCTTGTGACTAGAGATAAGAAGCTATGGAGAGCCTGAAAGATACAAAACTGTATCACCGATCAAAAAGCTAATCCCACTCTCCCTTCCAAAGTGTAAGAATAAACAAGCTCTGCTATAACCAAGTTGACTTCTTTTTTAAAGATTTTATTTAACAGAGAAAGACAGAGCATGAGCATGAGCAGGGGGGAGGAGGCAGAGGGAGAGGGAGAAGCACACTCCCCACTGAGCAGGGAACCTTACCCAGGGCTCGCTCCCAGAACCTGAGATCATGACTCAAGCCAAAGGCAGACACTTGGCTAACTGAGCCACCCAGGTGCCCCCAAAGTTGACTCTGCATTGCTGCCCTTCCGTTACAAGATAGCATACAGAATTCAGCCCCCTGGAAGAGGTCTGTGGTTCTGCTCAGTGCAGTTTCACTTGCATCCCTCAAGGTCAGAGCTGAACTGAGCCAATGTTGGTGAGCTAGACCAGTGTGTCTTTACCCTGACTGCACTTTAGAAGCGCTTGGGCAGCTTTCACAACTAGGAGGGCCTTATCCTGACTAACCAAAAGCACAAGAAATGGGGTCCAGGCACCAGTATTTTTGAAAAGTCCCCTAGATGACTGTCATGTGCAGTCAAGGTGAAAGCCACTTGGCCCACATGCCATTACCCTCTACCTTCCTGCCCTGTGACCTGACATTTTGGTTTTCGGAATTTCAGGTGTGGAGTTTGCCTGGAAAAGTGACAGAGATGTGGAGTATCATAAGTGATTTTAAACATGAAATGTGAAAGGTGAGGTTTTCTTTCTTGCCAGAGTACATTATCTTTTGCTTATGCACTATTTAAAGTTATGTCTTTTCAAGCCCAAGGATGTTTCATGAGTATCAGAAATGTTGACCTTACAGACCGATTAATTAATACAATAATTAATCCCTGGCCAATATTTGGCTGTCCACATGACTAATTATTGCAGTGAAATACCAATAGTTCAATTCCTCGAGCACACACTGTGTGCTCTAAGTATCACATATATTATCATTTATCCTTTATAGTGACTGTATGAAATCTGTACTAATATCCCATTTTACAGATCCTAAAGCACCCATGGAACGACTTGCTGAAAATGACACAGTCTGTAAGTGGCCAAGGCCAGATTAGTACCATGGTCTATCTTAACTACGACACCAGTGTTTTTAAAATTCAGTCATTTGAGTTCCAACTGAGCTCTTAGTTAATGAAAAATATTCGTATTTGTCTTTAATTTTCCAAAGGAAACTTTATCCCTGAAGGAAAAACCATCACCTGCCATACCTAAAAAGTCACCATAAAAATGAACACTTAATTACTAAATACACAAATTTCCAGGGACCACCAGAATTCACTGTCCACCACAACTGGTATTACATGCACCATGTTTTGGGAAAGTTGGGTCCTGATCAGTCTTGGTGTGTATGACAGTTTAGGTGGGCTGAGAACTCTCCTTAGGACGTTCTGAGTCATGCCTCTGAATATAGGCCCATTGAAATAAAATCCTCCACAAGATAACCCTTTTGTTGGGGGGACTCAGTAATACATTTAAAGCATCACAGATCTAAATCCACTGGATGGTGATGTTATTTCTATGATTAAATCAGATTATAAGGAAAAAAATATTTGTAAACTTGGCCCCTGCTGTTCACTTCACTAGATTTTTTAAAAGTTGTTTATAACAGCATGATTCATAATAGGCAAAAACTGGAAACAACCCAAATCTCCAACAGGAGAATGGAGAATGGTACATTTATGTAATAGAATACTAGTCAGAACTAAAAAAGAATAGCCACAGATACTTACAAGAATGGATGATCCTATTTCAATATCAGGTAAAACTTATCTATGCTCGTAGAAGTCAGAACCATTATTGCCTCTGCGGGTGGATACTGACTATAGAACTTTTGGAGATGATGGAAATGTTCTATATCTTGATTGGGGGGGCCTCTTACACAGGTATATACACTTATCAAAAGTCATGAAAATGTTCACCTAAGATCTGTGCATTTTATCACATGTAAGATTTATTCCAATTTAAAAAGTTATTAACATTTGTCTTAAAAGGCACTAAGGAAATATGTGATGACATTGTCTGAGGCTTAGTTTTATGACTTAGAATCAGAGTGATTACAGAGTTGAGAAAAATCTGATTTATAAATTTTAAACTTTCCAAAATTACCAACTTAAGATGTGCTGTTAGAGGTGGTCAGGGAGAGGATGTGAATACCAACTGACTTGAGAGCTGGACCTAAGCAATCAGAGGCCCCTGATCCCCTTCCCAAACATCCTTAGAATAAGCATTCTGCTTGCCTTCACCACCCTAGAAGCTGCTGCAAGGACACAGCCTTGAGATAGTAATGTGGCATTGAGGCCATCTGGATGGCATATGTTACTAAACCCAGTTAAGGGTTCTATATAAACTTCAAAGATTCTGGTGGGCAGGTGCAGAGATCTGCTCATTTTGTGGCCACCCAAGACAAGCCTCATAAATTCTCTTGCTTATTAAATCTGTCACCTACATATCTGGATGGTCCACCTCTTCAGTCTCTCCTGGCCCTCCATCTACAGGGGACCATTTGCAGACCAACAAGCAGTTTCTCAAACAAAAGATTGTAGTACAAAATTCTTTGTAGTTATATACACGAAGTCTATTTAAAAGCTGACAGTTTACCAAAGTTAAACAGAGTTCTAGAAAATCCATATTTAAAAAGCACTATATGGGAATGTCTTTTGAATGAGCCATGCCTATACAGATTTACGTGTGTGTTGACAAGAAAGTAAGTTGAGAAGTAAAACAGGCTCATATTTAAAAATGTTGCCTAGAGAGAGAAGTGTGTCACCCCTTTTACCTAATGATCCAAAGAGAGGTGTAAATAAATACCTCATCCACCTCAGTGCCTCCCAAGGCACAGGGAAGGAGTGTGGGGAGAAAGTCCTTTCAGCAAGGTACCAGAGAGGTGTCAGCAGCAAAACAAAGAGGTCAGTGAAATCAGAGGCAGAGCAGCTAATGGGACTTTTAACTCTACAAATGCAGAGCAGACTTTGATTCAAAAAGGATCTTTGCTGTAGGTCAGGAGATCCTTGCTAGAGAAGTAGAGAACAGTCTTACTCTTAATTAGAATGCCGCTGGGGAGGGAGCTGGAAGAGAACAAAGGATGCAAACCATGTTTGGAATTCTCTAGCCGATTTCCACCCTGATGGATAGCTGCCCTTTGCTAGCCTGTGCCAAGGAATGGACTCAGCCTCAGAGAACTATGTGCAGCCCTGAATGGCCATCCCTACACAGTAACAATTCTCCACTGGTCCTTGTCAATTCTGCCTCACTTTAGAAGACCATGACTTTTGTCTCCAGCTTCACTCACCCTTGTGATGGCAGTTTGCTGTTATGCATCTGCCTGATGGCTTGACTTGACTTGCTGTCTTGATGAATGCACTTATTCAGGACAATCCTTCAAGGCTGTAGAGACAAAAAGGAAATTATTAGCAAGCAAATTATGACTTGAATTGTATTCAAGTGCCATTCCCTGTTTTATGTCAGCAGCTTTGCTGGAAGCAGCTGGCATGTCCCATAAGTGGCTGTTTGTGCCTATTGCTGTTGCCTAATTCTAACTCAAAATCACTAAAAAGCATTTTGTGCTATCATAATTGTCTGCATGAGCCATAACTAACTCTTTCATTATTAAAGCCCATCCAATGGTTGGGGGAATTTTGATAAAGACTTCATAATACAATGGACTATTTAACCCTCCATTCACAACCCAGTGATTCCAGAGCTGACCAATGCACTACCTTATAAAATACAACTAAACACAACTTGTGCTGGGTCAACAGGTGTAATTCTGAGCTCAATGGGAAAATATCCAATTCTTCCCTCAGAAATCCCCTATAGGGGCTCCTGGGTGGCTCAGTGTGTTAAAGCCTCTGCCTTTGGCTCGGGTCATGATCCCAGGGTCCTGGGATCATGCCCCACATCGGGCTCTCTGCTCAGAAGAGAGCCTGCTTCCTCCTCTCTCTCTCTCTGCCTGCCTCTCTGCCTACTTGTGATCTCTGTCTGTCAAATAAATAAATAAAGTCTTAAAAAAAAAAAAATCCCCTATAACTGTTCGTTTGCTCCCCCAGAGGAAACACCCCTGAAATTTACCTTCATTTGCTGGCAATAAAATGTAACATGTTGAGCTTTGGCCTTGATGAGCTGCCATCCACTGAGTACTAATCTAATAAAATGACTTCAGGGAGGATGACATCCCTCTAGTATCTCTCTTCAGAGTTCTTCAGAGACAGTGGCTGTCCCAGCCCAATGCAAGGAACTCTCTTTCCTTCCCAGGTACAAGAATGAGTAGAATGAGGTATGCCCAGCTTCCTAAGAACTAGAGGAAAAAATTCAATCCAGATGGACTCCAGGATGGAAATACCATCATAGGAGGAGACCTGGCCATTATAGAGACGGCTGTGCTGTGAGGGATGTATTTCAAGATTTTACAAAACTATTTTCTGAAGACAAACCAGGAAGCACATTCTATAGCTAAGTGATTAAAATATTTACACGTCCATCAACATCACTGCAATTACGTCTAGACTTAGTAACCTGTAGGCTCATTCTTATCTGTAAACTGTGGTCGAAAGATAACGGTGTGTTTATTCAGTTTGCAAATAATTAGATGCCTCCTTTTTCATTTTTCTCTCATGTGCCATACTTTTTAATTGTTTCTTTGATAATTAACTCTTCTATAAAGAAAAACTATCAACAGAAAGGTGAGGTGGTATTGAAACTCTTCAAGCCTATAATTATAAAACATCTTAATTGGAGAAAAGCTGGTCCAATACCACTTGAAATTCCTAATATTGTCCTCCAAGGCCACATCACTGAGTCATAGTGGCGATGTATCATCACTAAGGAACTATACTTGACTGGTAATAACAAAGTATCCAAAATTGTGGCTTCAACAAGATGAGTTATAGGTTTTGGGTTTTCTCTCCTTCACATATTGGAATGAACATAGAAAAACAGACCAATACTAGGATGGTGGCTCTATAATGTCCTCTTGGACCCAGGTTACATCGTATTCTCTAGGCATGGGCCTCATCTTCATGGCTTCCCAGCTGACGCCTGAATCTCCAGCCATCACATCTTCATTCTTCAACAAGGAGAAAGGAGTAGGAAAGTTGAACCTGCCAACTAAATCATTCTCTTAAAAGACCTTTCCTCACCCTTACATCTTCTTTTTACCTGGGCCCATTGCTATCTCTACTCATATAGGGGTTCTGTTGATAAAGAAAATGAGGAAATGGATAAGGGAAGGTCACAATCAGTCTCTGTGTAGGATTCAGATGATTCTATGAGGTGATGCTTACCCTTCCATTACTTTGGTTCCTATGAATGTAAGCCCATGCCAGAGACCTGTGTTGTATTAATTCCATGCTTGGGGAGAAGCCATAGTACTCATCCCTCCCTAGACTTGAAAGATAACCAAAAGTGGATAAAATTTCTCAAGTTCATGTTGTCCCCAGCAGGTCAGGTTCAATTTACTATTCCATCTCATAGCTTAGAAGTTAACCATCAAAAGCCAGTTACCATCAGTAATCTGTGGTCAGAAACCCTGCCCTCATTATGACTTCTAGTCTCCAAGGGGCAAAGCCATGGGTGTCCACAAAAGCACCTCAGGAGTCATTGGAGAAGGACTATGGACCCATCTCCCCACTGTATCAATAGCAGCCCACGATGAGCAGTTTCTATACCATATGTCCATGTAAGATTATATTAACAAAATTTCTACAGTAAAACCAAAGTAGTAATAGCCATTGCACGGTCCATGACTGACCTTAGGCAGCTGGCTGGAGACCTATAGCTCTGTGTGCTCCTGACTGAAGCCTGGTAGACTCACAACGGCAGCCGCCTTCTTCAGGTGAGTCACTTTAACTCATTATGAGTCTGTGGAGTATTACCCTACAATGACCTAGGCATCTTGGAAAAACTTGGAGGCTTATGAGGCTGCCATTACCTCAAGAACTTGAGCCTCACTGAACCCATCGAGTCTGAGTTGAGCTGTCAAGGAAAGCCTCAGAGAGCAAAAGGGACTCAAGCTGAACTTCAGATTAATTCTAAGCAAAGGTGCCAGGAAATAAATATGATTGGCAGGGGGTTAAGGAGAAAATCAGTTGAACTCAGGACAAGAAGAAGGTCAAGCAAAAGAAAAAGAAACAACAGTGAGTTTCTCTCACTGGTTTTGGGTAAAAACAAACCTAAGAATAACCCTTTGCTGAACGTTTACTGGTGTCAAAGACTGTGCTAGTGCCTTATCCACATTATCCAATTTAATCTTTTTTTTAAGATTTTATTTATTTATTTGACAGAGAGATCACAAGTAGGCAGAGAGGTGGGCAGAGAGAAGGGGGGAGGCAGGCTCCCTGCTGAACAGAGAGCCCGATGATGTGGGGCTCGATCCCAGGACCCTGGGATCATGACCTGAGCCAAAGGCAGATACTTTAACCCACTGAGCCACCCAGGGCCCCCATTCCCATTTAATCTTACAACAGTCCTAAGACAGACTATAAGAGAAAAAACTGTCCTAAGAAATGGAGAGTAAGTGTTCCAAGCTCACATCAATCGAAGACTGTAACTTAGATCTGTTGGATTTTGGAGCCCCATTAGCCGTTTGGGTCTCGGAGGAGACCAGAAGGCTCCAACCTTCACATACTCTATGTTTATGCTAAAGTAAACCCATGTGACAATCTCTCTCAGAATCAGGAACATCCTTCCTCATCCTACTAGTTCCTGGGCCAAATTAGGCTCAGAGAATGCAAACTGGTTTTAATGTTTGCCTGGGCAAACATACCTAGGAAAACACCTTATTTGCTCAAATCAAAGTTGACGTTTTTAAAACTACAGAAAACTACAAAGTGGCCTGTTCACAAACTATGCTCTGAGTCTCCGCAGATGGGCTGCAAAATCAAAGGAACCCAAGACAGCATCCCACCCTCCCCCAGCTCTTCCCCTATCTGGGCCAGCCCATTGCCTCCAGCTCAGCCTGAACAGGCAACTAACTCAGCTGGAGCTGAGGCCTGGGCTGGAGGTGGGGGTCAGGCCAGCAGTTCCGCCTGGGAAAAGTTTAGGAGGCTCAAAGGGAGCCTAACTTTGTGGAAAAAGACCTTCCTGAACAACGGTCACTCACAGCCCTGCAAGTCTAAAAAGGGAACTATGGACATTCTGGAAAACCCTGAAGCAAACTTTTTGTTTCCGTTCGCGCTCCACTCACTTTTTAACTCCTCACTCCTCTTCAAGGGCAGGGGAGGGGCCAGGTGATGAGAGGACGAAAAGGTCAGGTTAGGGCGCTTTGTGGTTCCAGGTGAGGGCCAGAGCCTCCTACACTGTGGGATCCGGACGGTGGGATCTGCACAGTGGAATCACCAGGCCCGTTCTGCCCTCGGGGAGGCCTGAAATCCTGCTTTGGGGAGTTCAGGGTGAGTTCGGTTCATCCAGTTATCCACAGAACAGACTCTTCTGCTCTGGTTCAAGCGATCAGTCCCACTTCGCAAACGAAATCGCTCATCTGGCGTTTTAACACACATAACTCCAGTGCCTGCTCCCCTGAGAGAAGAGGACTATGTGCAGAACACCCGAACCTGCAAAATGCCTGACAGGTTCTCAAGCTGTAAGACAACCACCTCCCTGAGAAGAGATAAGAGAGTCTGTCTTCAGGGCGGAAGTCCCGCCTCACAAGCCCCGACTGCACCGGAACCCAGGAACCAGCTTCCGGTGAGCTCTTTCTGCTGCGCATGGCTAGACCTGACTGTGGAAGTCAGATTTCGCTATTTTCTTTTCGCCTCCTTCCATTGACAGTCAAGTCCACAATGCAGGTCTGAGCAGAACTTCCCTCCCGTCAGAGGTCGGAAGGGAAGCTAGAGAAAGGCTGCATTGCAGGAGTCTTGGCAGGGAAAGAACGTCTGAGCATTGTAGAGGCTGGGCCGCCCCTTTAACCCACCCCGGGGTGAAATGTGACACAAGAAATAACGCCACAATGGATTATTTTATTCAGAGGTTATGAGGCAGGTGCCACTGTTGAGTCCATTTTATAGATGAGAAAGCCCAGTAGAGGGAGGTTAAGAAAGTCACCCCAGGTGACAATGGCAAAGATCTGCTGCCAGAGCCACCTCCCTAAATGAGTATCAGTCTCTCGCCTATCGCCTGTCGGATTAATAACTGCTCCTCTACTGGAGAGAGCAGGGAAGAAGGGGCAGGAGCTCCTCTGAGCAGCCATGGCACTCTGGGGGTTAGTGCGGACGTCTCATCTTTTGTGGACCAACGTGGAAACTCCATTCCAGCTTCCTGCCTGTGGCTAGGTGAGTAGGGTGGGTCAGACCTGCCATAGGTTTCCCTCACTCTGTCACCGTCCCCATTCTGGGGCGTTCTCTCTCCTCCCCAGTTCTCCTCTAGAAAGC